CTTCCAAAATGCAGTATCCTGGCATTTCAGTCAACTTTATAATCTGGCAAAAACCCACTTGGCAGTATTAAAATCTAGTTCTGAAGCACTTTTATTTCTGAAAGCTTTTGATGTCTTTTTATATCTTTTTAGCATATATTAAATTTCTTAGGAGCAGTGACCAGGATGTACACTTGATGGATGACTGGGGTGGGGAATCTCCCCTCACCTCCCGCTTTGTTTTTTTCCTCTCCTTTAATATTAAAAAAAGGTGTGATAATTGTGCATTAGGTAATGCTGGAACATGAATCCTACAAATGCAGCTGTTTGACAACATTAACGTGGGGGTTTTGTACCATTGTTAGGTAAGTTAGCAGAGATTTTCCAAGCTGAGAAGGACAGCCTGCTGCCAAGCTCTGGCATCTGTCTTAGAAAATCTTTTGCTTCAAGGATGCCCTGAGGAAAATGATGACTGGATGCTTTTCTGAAGGCACAAACGGCCTGTTTTCTCTTCCATAGCATTCAGAATGGGACTCCTTGTTCCAGCCTGCCTGCTCAGGTTTTTGTGGTGCTGGGTTTATGTTTTCATGTGGTTTTTCTCCTGGGATAAAGTTGTGTACAGTGAATACTGATTATTCATCCCATGTCTGGTTCACTGTTTACATCTTGAATTTGACCCAGAGTCTGTGTAAATGAGGAATGCATTGAAACTAAGTCAAGGATCCTTCAGTGACTTGTTTTTGTGAGTTCAATCTTCTGAGACCTCTGATGAGTCTGGCAGGGCAGTGCCTGTGTGCAGAGGGGCAGGGAAAGAGAGTCCCAGCACAGCAGCAGTGCCATGGAGCAGCAGCATTTGGCCTGTTGAGAGCTGCTCTTTTTCTCCTGCCCCCCTCCCCTTCTGGGCCTCGGCTGAGGCCTCAGTGCTCTGGGCCTTGGTCCCTGTGCTGGGCTGGGTCAGTCCTGTGGCCATGGCACTGCTGGCATGAGCTGGGCTCCACTGCACTCTTTCCACCACACAAGGGGCTCCATTTGCTCCGGGCACAGCCTGAAGCCTCAGCTCTTCTTCTCCAGGGCTCTCAAGAAGAAGGCCAAGGACCAGACTCTCCAGAGGGTCCTTGCCTTGCTGGTATCTCCCTGGGGTCCGTGTGCTGCCCTCAGGGTCCCACTGTGGGGGTTGAGGGGCTGAGGCTGCTCCAGCTGGTGCTGGTGGTGGCCAGTGCCCCTGGAGATGGCAAATGGGGCCTGAGGAGCCTGGGACCGATTCTCTGCTGCTGTGCTGGGGAGCGGGGCTGGCCCTGGGGCTGCAGGAGCTGCCTGAGCTGATGATGTGCTGAGCATTGCAGACACAGAGGGCCTGTCCCTGACCCCCATGGCCTCCATGTCCTGCTGCAGGGCCAGCCCTGAGTGTGCTGCTCTGCTGGGCTGGGGCAGGGGCAGGGAGATGGGGGGAGCAGGGAGGGGCTGGACTGGGCAGTGCCAGGGAGGGGAAAACCCCAGTGTTGAGCTGAAGTGTGTGAGTGTGCAGGGTGGGGGCTCTGCAGGGCTGAGGGGCCTCCAGCCCCTGGCAGTGGCAGCAGGAGCCAGGCAGACACTGCCCCTGCTGCCAGAAACTGGGTGTGTGTGTGCAAGGGAAGGACTCGTGTCTCTGCACAGCCCTGGGGGTGTGAGCAGGGCAGGAGCCCAGCTCAGCTCTGGAGCCCTCTCAGAGCCCTGACACTTTTGGGGGTGACTCCAGGAACAACCGCCGCTCCCCAGGGCCCTCCCCGCTTCCTGCTGGGATCGGACACCGCCGGCGGCCCCGGCCCTGCTGGGCTCCATCAGCCTGAGGAATTGCTGCCAAGGAGGGGCCGGGGGCTTCCTCTTGGCCTTCCTCTCCCTGGCGCTGGGGCTCGGCTTCTACCTGTGCCAGAAGGTGAGGGGGGTCCCAGGGGGTCGTGTGTCCCCCCCCAGAGCGTCTGTGCCCCCCCGGGGACCCCCCACCCCGGTGTCACCCCCTTTTCTCTCCCCACAGAGCTCCTGAGCCGGTGGCGGCCGCAGCCCCTCCCTGGGGCCTCGGGTCCAGCCAGGAACCCCCCCCCCATTCCCGTGAGGATTTTGGGGGGTCGTGTGTCCCCTCCCCTGCTGTCACTCTGCCTCCGCCCGGCTGCTCCCAGTGATCCCAGTAAAGCTTCCCAGTTCTCCCCAGTCCCTTTTATTGGGGGGCAGTTGAGGAGGGGCTTGGGGGTCCTCGTGGGGTGAAGCTGAGTTTTGGGGGGGGGGCAGAACTGGCCCCAGGATGGATTGGGAATGTGGACCCTCCTGGATCCTCCATGTTAAGCTGCTCTGGGGGGGCTTTGGGAGGGCACCTGCCCCTCAATTAAGCACCCAGCTCACCCCAAACAGTGCTGGGACCCCCCTAAACCTCCACACAAGCCTCGGAGAACCCCCCAAACATACTCAGAGCCAACCCAGGACCCCCCCTAACCCCTTTTCTTGGGGTGGTGGGACCCCAAACTGAGTTGGAGGGACCTGAGGATTGGGGGGATTATGTGGAAAGGGTGGGAGAGGGGGGAAAAAAGTGGGGGTTGGGACCTCTAAACTGATCGGAGGGGGGATTGAGGGGACAATGAAAAAGTGGGAGGAACAGGGAGAACGATGGAAAGGGGGGGTTGGCCCCCCTGAACTCCCAATTTACTGTGGGGTGCTGGAGGCTGCTGGATCCAATCTCAACCTTGGATTATGCCAACACTTTCAGTTTAGAGGAATTACAGAGGTGTGACTGAAGCACTTTTGGCCCCCAGGTTTTAATGATGGCAAATCAGATCTATTGATACAAATGAATTATTTAGGGTTCCAAATGATCAGACAAAAGATCTTCAGCAGAATTATTTACTGCACAACAGAAAAACTAAAACTACCAGGAGTACAGGATAAGATAGGACAGTGCTCTACACTAAAGCAATTGTTGAAGCAATTCTACTCAAGCTGGCACAAAAGCAATAATTCTTATTAGAGATGGATGGAACTCCCCCAGACCAACACTCGGGGGGAGATCTCTTCTCAACCTACAGCAGTGACATTGGGGGGTCCCCAGCCAAGGCAGGAATCTCCACACACCACCTCAGGAAGGGTTCTGATGGAAGAAGCTGCCCCTGGGAAAGGGGACTGGCCCTTTCTGGTGGAAAGGGATGGACTGACAGTCACTGGACTCCAGGGGTTGTCTCCCCATCAGGGGGTTCATTTGGGGTGGAAGCAGGGGCGGAAGCTCTTCCCGCAGTCAGGGCACTCAGAGGGCTTCCCTTACTGGTGGGTCCGTTTGTGTGAGGTCAAGTTACAGCTCTGGGTGAAGCTCTTCCCACACTCCCCACACATGTAAGGCCTTTCCCCGGTGTGGATGCGCTGGTGCCTGCAGAGGCTGGAGATGTAACTGAAGCTCTTCCCACATTCCCCACACGTGTGGGGCCGTTCCCCAGTGTGGATGTGCTGGTGGCTGAGGAGGTGGGAGCTCTTCATGAAGCTCTTCCCACATTTCAAGCACTTGTAGGGCCGTTCTCCAGTGTGGATGCGATGGTGAGAGTGAAGGCTGGAGTTGTCACTGAAGCTCTTCCCACATTCCCCACACACATAGGGCCGTTCCTTGGTATGGACGCGCTGGTGGGTGTGAAGGGTGGAGCTGTGAGTGAAGCTCTTCCCACACTCCCCACACTTGTAGGGCCTCTCCCCGGTGTGGATGGATCGGTGCCTGATGAGGTGGGAGTTCCGGTTGAAGCCCTTCCCGCAGTCGGTGCAGCGGAAGGGCCTCTCATCCGTGTGCGTCCGCTCATGCAGGAGAACATGTGAGCTGGTCTGAAACCTCTTCCCACATTCCAAGCACTTGTAGGGCCGTTCTCCAGTGTGGATGCGCTGGTGTTTGCGGAGGCTGGAGCTGTCACTGAAGCCCTTCTCACATTCCCCACATGTGTAGGGCCGTTCTCCAGTGTGGATGTGCTGGTGTTGAATCAAGTGGGAGCTGTTCCCAAAGCTCTTCCCACATTCCATGCACTTGTAGGGCCGTTCCCCATTATGGATGTGCTGGTGTTGGATCAGGGTGGAGCTCTGCCTAAAGCTCTTCCCACACTCCCCACACGTGTAGGGCCATTCCCCAGTGTGGATGTGCTGGTGCTTGAGGAGGTTGGATCTCTGGTTGAAGCTCTTCCCACATTCCCCACACGTGTATGGCTGTTCCCCAGTGTGGATGTGCTGGTGTCGGATCAGATGGGAGCTCTGCCTGAAGCTCTTCCCACATTCCAAGCACCTGAATGGCTTCTCCCTGCTAGGAGGCTGCTCAGGGTCCACCAGCTCAGAGCTCCCCCTCAAGCTCTGGCCGCCTTCCAGGCACAGGCTGGGTCTTTCCTCCTCAGAGCACCCTGGGCTGGCTTTGGAGCCCCTCCTGCGGGGGGATCTCCGGCCCTTTTCCTCCCCGCTGCCTTCCTGCGCCGGGGAGCCCTTCAAAACGGCCTCTCCCACCAGGGTCTCACGGGGGGATTTGTCCTCCGGGCTCTCCGTCCTCAGCTCGGGGCCTGGGGCAGGAAGCAAGAAGGACAGGGAGGGGATTTGCCTCCGGCCCAGAGGGAAGGCCAAGGACATCCCCCCAACTCCGGCCCCGGCAGGACGGCGGCGGCAGCGGGGTTGTCCTGCAGCCGGGGCCATGCTCGGCTGACAGAGCCAGCACAACACCCGCCCAAAGGGCCACTGACTTCCTCCTCACCTGCCTGGGGGGCCCAAGGCATCTTCCTCTTCCTCGCAGCCTCCTCCTCCATCCGCCCAAGCTTTGGGAAGGACAAATCCTGAT